AAATAAAAAGAAATGTAGACATTTTCTCTGTTATTTTTTTAACACGCTTGATTTTATTTTTGCACTCAAATATTCTACAGATTTAAAAACGACACTGTGTGTGAAAACATAAACTAAAACAGATTTAAGAGGAGCCTTCAGGCAGATGGGTACGGCTTGATTAGTACTGCGAGTTTATTCCGTTGTGCCATGAAGGTCGAACAAAACAACTAGTAAAACAGAGCTTTGGGATTTTTAATACATGATCTTAAAACAACTTTTTACTTGGACGTTTTGCTCCATGACATAAATAAAGTGAGTGGACTTGGTGATTTGTGCTCAAATAAACACGCTGTCACCATGATGTTTTTATTAAGTGGAAAGCAGGGCAGTGCTGCTAACAAAGCTTCTCATGACAGGGTGACTCAGTAAAACCAGGAAAGCCTCTTGGATTAACAACACAAGCTGAGATACTAATCTGAGGTGTGCGCAAGAAAGACTCTCATTTTAATAAAGTGTTACTGCAGTCATGTGATGTAGAGAGCTTTTCCTTCAGTGATCATTTCAAACAAGCCCTTTGATGTTTTTTTTATTTTACTGTCATCAGTTTTCTGTAAAGCCTGATGCTCTTTTTCTGCAGCATTGTACAACTCGCACAATGTTAGAACCGAATGGGAAGAGGATTTTCCTTTTTCTGTCTTCATTATTTGTTTTTAGAACTCCAAATAATAAGGGAAATGTCTGATGAGCAGCTGCTATTATTATGTGATGCCTTTTCTTTTTCACATTGTGTTCAAACAAGCAAGAACAATTTAGCAAAAAAAAAAAAAAGAAGAAAACTCCAGCTTTTATCAAGGCGCTCTCACCTGCTGCTGATCAGCTAATCAGGGGGGTTTAATTAGCTGCACCTGGCTGCTTCTCTTGATGCAGAAGAGTGTACTTTGTTTTTTTTTTTCTCACAAAAAACTTTAGTACTTAGGAAACTTTGTGTGAAATATTATGACTATAATGTAATAATAAATAAATAGATAAATAGTAACATGTGATGTGTTGTTGCTCTGCAAGCTCTTATCCAGTCATGAACAAGAACAGGTACTTTTTCAACAGGCTTTGTTTGGTATAAATGTTACACTTAATATGTTGAGCTTTTTAATCGTGGTACTTTACGACTTGTTTCTCATTCACCTATTCACTCACACACAGTCACACATTTTTTGTTTCTACATATGAGTACTCCCCATGTGGGACACTGTGAAAAGGCAGGAGTTTACAACCACTGTTCTGGTTAAACTGGCCCGTTCTGACTTTAGAGCTTAGTTGTTGTAACTGTTCACAAAAATCCTGTACATCCTGTAAAATAATGATCCGAGTTAACTGACATGAGGTCTCTGGTGAACTGTTCATACAAAACATTTTTATTATTTGTACTTTTTAAACTTTTGTTAACGTGTTTCTTGGTGGATTATATCCTCTACCTTTATTTAAAAAAGGCCCTGTCACACTAGGACATTTTAGACAACTTATGCAGACAACATTTTGTTATTAATAAATTCGGTTATATATTCATTCAACTCATTCGCATTACAGTATGGACACATCCAAAACAGGCTTGCAGTTGGTTTATTTGTTTTATTAAATTTCCATCGTAATTTTCTTCTTCTTGGACACAGGTTTTAATTTTGTTTTCTAAAACGTTATAGTGTGCCAGGGCCTAAATAACACAGTATGTGTGAGACAGTGTTAAAGAATGAAATAGCATAGATTTTATATAAAGAAATAGCAGCTGATTTTTAGTAAAAACAATAAATTCTGCACTGCTGATTGTATCTTTTTTGCAAACTTAAGATTTTGGACTTGGGCCTTGTTATTAAAAGTTATAAATCATATAGTTGCAGACCACTCACTTTGTATTTTAAACTAGCAGTGCTAAACAAGTGTCGTGATCACTGGGTTTCTGTTAGTTATACACAATATCTTGCATAAAAGAATGACTAAACTTTGAAATCCTTAACCCCCGAGCTGTCAAGTGATTTATTTTCCATCTGACTTTGACATGGAATAAATCCGTTAAACTACCGTGGGGAAACAAAATGCTTCATGACTGACAAGAAGACACGCACCGCACTCTCTCCCTTCCCATCCTCTCAGAGAAGACTGCACTGACTTCAGCTCGTTTCTTGGAGACTTGCCCTAATCAAAGCTCGTCTGAACAAAACAAATCTCCCCATCAAACCTCAAAAATCCTCACATTAAAAATGTTTTTAGGAGGATTTCCTGTTTGCCAACAAAACCGAGTCAGATTCCCCACATTGTGACTTGCAGCTTTAGTGCAGTCTGAATAACAACCGCCGTTGCTCAAGCAGAAGAAYGTTACAGCAATTTAGCTTTGCTTAGACTTCTTCAGCTGGTAAACATGTTTATAAATAACAACCTTATTTTCTACGTCTAATGTTGCTTGCCTTAATTTTTCAATTAAGGCAGGCAGCATGCTGTGCTGCTGCCAAACAAACCAATACTGGTGATTTATATTTGCATTAGTATAATGAAAAAAAAAACTTCCAGCATGTTTATTTTATATATATAACAAAAATAATTTACTACTGAATGACATGCAATATCATATTTCTTCCCGATCTCATTGCGAAGTAAAATGATAAAGAAAAAGCATGAGACACAATCATTTTCTTATAAAAATTACAAGTGGAAGGGACACAGGATAAGATGTCAGCAGCAGGAATAACAAAAAAAGACAAAAACATTTAGAAAATATCCACATCTTAACTGCTAAATTTTCCATTTTACTGAATTAAAACATGCTGCCACTCAAACGGTTTGATGATCACCTCCCATCACATGTGTCAGCCTGTGCTTCATGAATAGACTGTGACAGGCAGTGTGTGGGATGTCCCTTTGATGAATCTGCTCTTGTCTGTTCCCAGAAAACTGCCTATTACTGCCAGTATAAAAGGGCTGAAAACGCCGCACGATTCAGTGGATCACGTTTGGTGTTCTGAGGTGTTACCGTCTGATTGTCGGGACCTGGGTTACAGTGTCCTGTGTGACCAAAAACAGTTTCAAAAGTGAGGCCAAAACTAAGATCAAAAAGGTTCATAACAAATAACTTCCAGCTTCAKAATACATRAACTTCACATGAACTTTAATGTCTTATATAAGGGTCAGCTTACRCTTCTTATAACAAGGTTATAAGAGTAATTTAATTAGCAAGGATCTCTTTTATTTTGGATAAACATTTYTTTAGTGCAAAAATGAATGGACACAAAAAGTAACTCTCAGTCAGTGAATGTTGACTTGAACCATAATATGCGATCATTTATTTTACAAATCATACAAAATTGACTAGAGTACACCTGATTGTGAACAATTAATTTCCTATAAAGTTTTGGGACCAACAATAACAAGCTTTTAACTTCTTAATTGTAACCACACTTAAATAGAAACACAAACGCTAGTTTAGATGTTAAACACCAGACATTTGAGACTGTTTATCGTAGGAGTTGGCAAGGACAAGGTTAAGAAAAAAGGGGGGAAGAAAGATGTTAGGTTTTCTATACTTTTGTCTTAAATAATGTGGGTTTTAACCAGAAGGGCGAAGCGTTCTGTGCTCAGCTTTGGTCAGACCTCGACGTCTGCTGGAGAATCTGTCTTTAGACTGTCGAACAGGGGACCCCAAGGCGTGTTTTGTTGACTCGTTTACGTCCACGTCAGCCGTAACCAGAAGACAAGGCCTCCACTGGAACCCAGGTTGTAAATAAAACTTCTGGAGAGTTTCTGAAGGTGGATAAACCAGGTGTGGTTTTCCACACTGTGAGGTTTCCCCGTTGGCGTGAAGGGGCCAAACCTGACACAGTTTTCAGCTTTTGATTCCCCGGAGAGAATCTAGCTGTCACAGTGACTGACGGCGGTACRTCACCTTTCTTTCTCTCTTCTCTCTGGACGGGCGGAAACTGTTAGTTCCTAAAAGCTTAGAGAATCTATGGTCCGCCCTCCAGAAGGTTAGATTAGAAAATAAATTATCAAGGTAAGTGTTAGTTTCAGAACTGGCCGTGCCCTCCTGAATCTAAAGCAAAGATTATTGCTGCTGCTGTGTGGTTCAGAACAACACATTTCATGACCCATTTAAATTATCTGATGAGCACTTATTTAAAACATAACTGAAARAAAAATGAATTGCTTCAAGTTCAAAACATTTGCAAATATGATTCAGACAAGTAAAACACCATACATAGCTGAAATCATACTGAGGGAGAAAAGAGATCTGTCCTCTCTTCTCCTGTAACTTTGATAAACATTCTCTGATTATCAAAATGTGTAATACTTTCAGTTAAGAGAACRMTAAATCAAATAAGAGAAGATTTTTCTGTTTTTATCTGATTTAGAAGGAAAGTGGCCTTGGGTGGCCTAAATACAGTTCTAAGTGGAACAGAGTTTTTGTCCATTCGAAGGCCCATCAGWGGACTGAGAGTCCAAGACAGTTCCTTGATAATTTGACTCGAGGTGACCCCTACACTTAATTGTTCAAAGCTCATCACTTGGTTTGCTGTCAGTCTAATTGTTTTAAAAAGTTATTTGTTCTTTTAATACAACTTTAATAAAAATCACTTTAGACTGAATGTGGTTTTGAAAATTGACAAAAAATAATAAACAAATCAATTGCGTAATCTTTTTTTCTAATGACAAAATGTCCGCTCTTACTCTTTGCTCCAGTAGGCTAATCTCAATTAATATATTTTATCTGCAGTATTTTTCTAAAAATACATGAATATTTCAGAGTAAATTCAGCAGCATGTTTGGCATAGAGGTATAGATAGACTTATAAAGGATAGAATATGCATTTTCAAGGTATTAATTCTTGTTTTTACCAGACCTTACACAATTGTTAATGTTTAGTGGCTTTAAACTTCAGCCAAAGCAGCGCTTGTTTCTTTACGGACTGCTTTTAGGTTACACAGGAAGTCTATGTAACCAAGCAACGCAGTCGTTGTTTTGGTAACAGGTCCGTCCGCCGCGCTAATAGATTAGCAGTAATTGTTTGCTGTGGCTGTAGTTGAACAAATGGGTCAACGTGTTTATGCAATTTATTTATTTAGTTTCTCTGGTCAAATCGATGTAAATACAGAAACAAATGCGTTGTGKTTTTTTTGTTCAAGTGAGTCCTGACGGGAAACTTTAAAACATGGAGTCTGAACTGGACGATGGATCAACCTCCTGCTCATCAACACACCCCTCCAGAGTCACTGAAACATCACTTTTTCTCACACCTATGGTAAAGATGAACTTGATTACCCTTTTTTTTTTTACAATTAATAATTAAATTCTGTATAATTTAGCTATAAAAGTATATCCTGTTTTCTAATATTTTGTGCAGGTGAACAGCTGCAGGTTGCACCTGACACCAGTGGCCCAGGGAAGACTGCAAATAGCTGTGAGTTTTTGACAAAATTAGAATTGTAAAATGCTACTGACATTAAATAAAGAAATAATGAAATCATATTATAAAATAGTTTGAACATTAAAAATAAACAATACAATACTTCTGTTTACATTAAATTAAATATAGTTTTTTAAAAAATACAGTGAGATGGGTGTAGGAATAATGAATAAAATTTTCTATATTTGCATTTTTTTTCTTTTTGAACAGACAGATACGACAACCACCCAAAACGACAGCTACACTTGTTTAGGTAAGAAAAACTCTTATTTATCCATCCTCTCACCTGCCAGTGACCTAAGACTGTGGTTTAGCATTAGGCTGCACTTTCAAGAATTGCTCTTATACAAATAATCTGTTTTGTTCTGTTTGCACGTCTCGTTCCACCTTATGTGTAGAAACTGGGTTACAGGCCTGCGGTCGGTCCAGAGTTGCCAGTGACAACTGTGCAGACGTTTCTGCACAGAATATAGTGCAGCTAGCAGGTGGTGCTCCATTTTCTCATGCTGCAAATGAAGTTGGAGTCAAATCAAGGAGCCAGTCCCACAGTGTGAGGTTCACTTACCATCGTGCTGCCTTAAAAAATCCCAAACCAGCAGGTAAATGTAGCATTTCAGTTCCGTATGAAAGTGCTTCACATTTTGAAGCTTGTTGATGTTGAAAACAGTGTGTAGATTTTCGTGCAATGCACATAGACGTCCCACATTGATTTTGTAATTTCCATATTAGGTGGTTCTGTTGGATGTACTGGTTGTCCACTCCATTTCCCCTTCACTCGGCAGCCACTCACTTCCAGTTTTCAACAAATTAACTCAGACAGGTAGTTTTAGTTTACTTTTTATTTTTCATGAGACACTATCTGTTGTCCAAATCTACTTATTTTTTATTGCAGATTTTAGCTGAAAGTCACCAAAAGTGTATACATGGCTGATGTGTCCAACTTCTCAGCAGTTCTATGCTTCTTTACCAAGTTTCTGGAATTCTTCTGTCTGTTCTCAGTTTAACAATCAAAGTTTTATCATCACAATATTTTTGTTGGAACTTTAATACTGTCAACTAAACTGGCACATAAATCAAATTGCCACCAGGGAGCAGCATAGTGTCTTTGAATACTCAGCCCTAGTCGCCAGGAAACAATTTTGCTCACGATGCTTTGCTAAATGCATACTCAGCAGAAATATTTAAGCAGAATTGTAAAGCAACTAAGTACAAATACTTCTTTACTGTACTTAAGTAGAAAATTTGTGTATCTGTACTTGAGTAATTATTTTTCAGCVTACTTTTTACTTCTACTTCTTACATTTTTACACAATTATCTGTACTTTCTACTCATTACACTTTTAAAAAGGTAAGAAGTAGAAAGTCGTTACTCCTATTTCATTGCAGCTTGTTAAAAACATATTATCCTCCTGGATAGAGTGAATTTAATTGTGGTTGGATGAGAAGTGTAAATATATATYATGCTGATCCTGTATTAGTTTGTACACAATCCATCACTGCAAATAACACAAATTGTGTCACACTCCAGCAGAACCTAGCAGATATACTGTATGTATCCTGGTAAAAGCTGAAACAGGTGTAGTGCATCCTAATTTTTATAACATTAACATTTTTAAATGACAATATAGCCATTTTGGCATTTAGAAAAGCGATTTTTGAGGGTATCAACTCCCAGTAAATGTCATTTTGGAAAGTCTAGCCACTCATTTTTACTCAGTACTTTTATTTTTAATACTAAAGTACATTTTATGTCAGAAATTTACTTTTGATACTTAAGTACAAAATATGTTCGATACTTTAAGACTTTTACTCAAGTAATATTCTTAGAGGAGACTTGAACTTTTACCAAAGTAAATTTATGGTAAGATACTTGTACTTTTACTCAAGTATCACTTTGAGGTACTTTATACAACACTGTATTTAAGTAAAATACTRGATCATTTGAGAATGACAGAAGAGGGAATGAGGAAAGCTGTGTTGTCAGTTCATAAAAGACTAAATGAAAGGGGAATCTTACCAAGTGTTTTTTCTTCCATTATTCAGTCGCTGTCTGGAGGAATTCCCTGAGCTGGGCTTCATCAAAGAGCTGCAGTTTCTGAACCTTCAGCACAATCTGATCACAAAGATCCAGCGTTTGTCAAATCTGCAGCAGCTTACTCTCCTGAACCTTCACGACAATCACATCTCTGATATGACTGGCATTGATACTCTGAGGTCTCTAAAGGTTCTCAATCTGAGCAAGAACAGGTTGGTTATCACAAGAGTTTCAACCAAATTAATATTACTCCCTCAAAATGACAGCACCATGCACGACCTGTTCCAGTACGATCTAATCTACCAGAGAAGTTAATTCTGTAACGTTAATGAAGAACTATAATTTCTTGTGAAGTGAAAACAGGAATCTATTAATCCATTTATTTATTTTCCAAACTCACTTTGTTCCATTAAAAGTCATGAGGACCTAAAGCTAATCATAACTGTCTTTAGACAGGAAAATTGTAGTAAAATTCAAATATTGCTGCCATTGCAAGATGTCTTGTTTCTCTCTTTTTTAATGTACATTTTATCCACTAGGTGTAGCTACCTACCTAAACCTTAAAGATAAGTGTTTCCAAAACTTGGTGTAATTAGAAAGCCATTTATCTCTGTGTCATTTTTGATTTAAAAGGTCAGCAGAGAGARGATTAAAGCCATAACTTTGTGAATGACATTATGATCTTCCAGCTGAGCTGCACACGTTCGATCTGATGTGGTCCTTTTGAAGCTGCGTCTGAAGTCGTGTGTGGTTTCTGAAAAGTGATAAATGCTACTTCTTTAGCTACRGACATTTTCAAACCTTTGATCCAGAGTCAGATTTTACACAAACCTACGTACATGAGACGGAACTGAACAAAATACTTTTCCATCTCCTGCTTTGCTAACATTCAGCATGTATATTTTCTTATAAATTAATATTCAAACCTCATTTTTTGTAACAATATAAAACTAATTAATCGGATCTATTACATAACCACTGTCAGACTAATCTGGTTCAGCATCTCATGTTTCAAATCATATATCATCTGACTACTAATCAGCACATTCATAAGTAAGCTCATTGGGCCTCATGCAAGAACATGTTCGTATTTTTATCCTAAATGTCTCTTACTTTTGCTTGTACGAAGGGTTCGTACGAACATGTCACGTCAGATTCAACAAACTCTTCTATCTTCAGGAAAAGTGTGTAAATGAGGATTGTAAATTCCATCTATTCGTATCCAGCTGCTCGTGCACGCGAGAGGAGATTAGCATAATTACCACCCCAAAAACACCATATAAGGCT